TCTCCTGAGCAGCCGCGACCTTCCCGGGGAAGGCGCCAAGAGAAGGAGTCGCCCAGCCATCCAGCCGCCCCCAGAGCCTGGAAAGCCCCCCCCCTCCCCCAAAGGCTCAGGGCCGGTGGTGCTCCACTTCCCTCCGACCTCAGGCAGGCTGTGACTTGCCTCCCCCCTTCTCCCACGGCCCTTAAAAGTTGCAGCTCTGCCCTGGTGTGTCTGACCTAGACGTTGCTGACCAGAAGCCCCCCCCCCCAAAAGCCACTGGAGCCAGGCTGCTGGCCTCTTCCCTGGTGGTTCCTTGGCATGAAGGCAAACGGAGTGGGGGCCAGAAGACCCCTTGGGCCACCACCAGCCCCCTCCCTTCTCAGAGGGGCTTGAGACCTGGAAGGTGGCTCCTGGGAGCTTCACCCCTTCTCAGGGGGGCAGCCCCATTCCTCAGGTTCAGCCCTGATTCAAACTGTGGGAGGAAAGAGCCCGGCCCCCTCCGAGCCCCCCTCCCCGCTCAGCTGATGAGGTCAGGTCAGGGGGTGGCCGGAGGCTGCGTCATCTCGTCTGGGGCATTTCCCCTCGGCGGAGGGCAGGGAAACGGAAGAGCTGCTTTTAGCCCAGTCAGACCCTCGGCCCTCCACGGCTGCGGCCAAGGAAGGCTCCTTCCTGCCGTGACGGTGAGGGCCAGGATGGCTGCCTTGAAACCCTCGCTAGGCCGGAGGGCAGATCTGGACTTCCGGCAAGCAGAGGATGCGTGCAAGGACCTTCTTCCCCGCCCCCCATGGCTACCCAGGGCCCCTCCCAAGGAGCCCACTGGCCCCTCCACCTGGCCCCCTCTGGATACTGACCCCTGGTACTTAGGAAAGGTCGGGGGCTCCTGTGACCCCCAGCAATGCTCCCGTCTTCTAAGAAGGGGACCTCAAGCGTGCAAGCTGAGGGGCGGGCAAGTTGTCCCTGGGCAGGCAGTCCAGCACTCCACCGGTCAGCTGTGATTCCACCTGCGTCCCTGTGATTTAGGAGGCCAGAGCAGGGATTCTGAGAGGTTCAGCCCTCTTTGGTTTCTGAAGAACGACGGAGGTACCCACAGGTTTACAATGGCTGCGTCTCTCGGCCTTTATCATCGTGGTGGTGGTGGTGATTATGGTCTCTGTTCAGTCGTGTCCGGCTCTGTTGGCCGATTCTTGGCCTTTTTCCATGTGGGGGTCAGGCAGCAGAGCCCCTCTTCCTTTGCCCAAAGCCCCCCTGAGCCCTCTTCTGCTGCGGGTGGTGGTCCCCTCCCAGCCTCAGGCTCCTTTCCCCCTTCTGTCCCTTGCTCAGTCCTGGAGATCTTTCACCTGATCCACCAGCGGGATCTCCGCCTGGCAGACCGGCACATTGTGGAGCTGGAGGCCGAGTGCGCCCAGGAGGGCAGCGGGAAGGACGGCAGCCGGAAGGCCAAGGACGTGGGCCTGCTCTACGAGGCCCTGCAGAAGGAGCTCTGGGCGGTGCTGGCCGAGGCGCTGGCCGCCAAGAGCGCCTACCCTCCCCTGGAGCAGCTGGTGCAGGTAATCGAGCAGGAGGAGGAGGCCGACCGCAGATGGCGCCAGGCCCAGGGAGACTCCGCGGGGGCACCCGTTCCCCGCCCCCGCAAGATGAAGCAGCAGTGGGCCGAGGCGGTGGACCGGCTGGTGGGCCAGAAGCTGTGCCAGTGCATGGAGGGCCGGGGGGGCACCATCGCCACGCAGATGGACCGGCTGGCCAAGTGCACGGTGGAGGACCTGAACAGGGTGAGGGACCACCTGCTGCAGGCCTACCCCAAGGAGTACCAGGCCTTTGGCGTCTACCTGGGCAGCTACCACCGGGGCCTGGCCCGCTGCCTGGCCGAAGGGGTCCAGAAGCAGCTGAGCCTCTCCGAGCTCTACTTCGTCTTGGACTGGAACAGCAACATCTACCAAAGGTGGGTGGTGGGGGACCCCCTGGGGGGAGGGGGAGGCTGGGTCCCTCTGCAGGATTGCCCACCCGGCATGGACCCTCCTGGGACCCAAAGGGTTGGCAGCTGGCATGTAGCTTGTGTGTGCGTGGGGGAGCAATCCTGGAGGGTGGGTGGGCAAGACAAGGGGCAGGGCTGTCTTAGAAGCTCATAGTAATTCAGCCCAGCTGGAAGCTTCTGCGGGGGCATCTTCCCGCACTCGGGATGCAGCACTTGAAAGAGAGATGGAGACCTGGATCCTCCCCCAAATCTCTTCTCAATGGCAGAGCTCAGCCCCCCCCCCAGGGGGGGGACACCGGACCCGCCCTAGCTGCTTCTGGGCCCAGAGCTGGCAAGGTGATGCCATTCATGGGGAAGCCTGGATTGTGCAGACAACTGCCCCCCCTCTCCCCCTCTGCCACAGGGAGGTCCTCAGCCGGCCAGAGATCTCCGCCCTGGTCAAGCCCCAGGAGCTCGGACCCCTCCTGTCCCCAGAAACGCAGCAGAGTCTGGAGGAGCACTGCATTGCCGCTGTGAAGGTAACGGCCGGCCAGGGGTGAGGTGGCGGGGGGGATGGGGGGACAGGACGACACAGCCATTGAGACTCTAGGCAGGCAAATGGCATTCAAAGAGGGTCCAGAATGCCCCGCTTGCAGGAGTTTCTCTCCTGTCTGGCCCCTAGAAGCCTTTTCAGCCAGGAGCTGCTTATCCAGGACTGCCTTTGTGTGACGTCAATGATCCCACGAGGCACGTGGGTCCCACTCCCTGCAGGGTGGAAGGCTGGTTCCCCGGGCACAGGTGGCTGTGGCCTTCCTTGCAAGGAGGCCCCGAGATAATCCCGGCCGGGCACCTTAATCCTGCTGGGTCATAAAAACAGGAAAAAGCCGTTGAAAGTCTCCTTCAGGGCAGAGACAGGTAGCCGGATGACCTCAAGAGGTCTCCCCACCTCCCTCGAATTCCCAAAGCTCACCTTGAGCCCCTCATTGTGGACTCTTTCTGGGGCACCTGCAGGTGGCGATCACCAAGGACGTGGGCCAAGAGCTGGTGAAGGAGGAGGAGCGGTGGGCGCAGGAAGACAAGGAGAACAGCTTTCAGTTCGACTTGTCCAGCAAAGTCATCTCGGTAGGTTGGGGTCCCCTCCCCTCCCCCTTTTCTTCTTCCTTCCAGGACACTCAGCCCCACAGGAGACAGCCCCCCCCACTCAGACCCACCAAGGGAGGCTTCTCTCCGCTTTCCAGCCCTGGCCTGACCCTTGGGAGCAGGAGCCAGGAGGCGCTCCGTCCTTTGGCCCGGCTGAGGAACTGGGCAAGGGCTTAGCTCAGCCTATCCTCCCCCCAATGATGCCCACAGGGGGCTGCCATCGGTCTCCCCTCCTGGGGCCAGTTCCTTCTCTGCAATGCTGGGCCACTGGAACACGCCTGACCCTGATGGCTGGGGATGATGGGAACTGCAAACTATTGGAGAATGCCAGCTGAGTGCACAGGTGGCATCAGAGGCCAGGCATAAAAGGGCACCTCTGAAGATGGCATGCTGACCCTGGCAGCAGAGGGGGCAGCTGCCCCTCTCCCCCCTTTCTCGCCACAGGAAGCTCCCCCCAGTATCAGCTGGAAGGCTGCCCTCCACCCCCCCTCCAATACCCCCAGGGTCCTTGTGGGTTTGCTGAGTCCTCCTGGTGCCCTGCAGGTGCTGAAGGGGCATGTCGACAAAGCCCCACGAATCACGGAGGACTTTGGAAGGAGGGTGGCCCACTGCTGCCTGGCCAGCCTGGCGGAGTTCTTGCAGAGGTACTTTTGCCCAGGAAGGAGCTGTTCGCGGGGCACAAGGCAGGCGCCCAGCATCTGCAGCCAGACCCTCCGTGGGAAGAGCGCACCGAACCGGGTCAAGATGGGGCAGGCTTGAGTTCCTTCCTGAGCCCTCCGGGTCTCCTGGGGCTGAACCCGGCCTGCCTGGGCTCTTCCACAGGGGCAGAGATGGGCAGGCCAGGGGAGAAGAGACATTGTGGGTGGCCTCCTTCTCCACAAGGCAGGGGGGGAAGCAAGAGGAGGCACCATGGAGGGCACGTCGTCCTTTTTTCCCCCAGACGCACAAAGGGCCTTCCAGTTGTCCTTCTTGCCCCTTGAGGGTTCATCCGGCACCTGGCCAACTGCCCCGTCTTGCCTGGGCTTCCCGTGGGAGAAGAAACGCGGAGGGTGGCCACGCGATGGGCTGGAGGGGAACGTGGCGCAAAATTTCCATTTCAAACCAGGCGCCACAAATAGATTCACCTTGGGTATAAATAGCCGCCGTGGCCCATTTGGAAGGAAATGCCAGCGGGGTGGAGCCAAAGGGCCCGGTGGTCAGGGATTCTGGGGTGGGCGGCCAGAGGCTATTTTTAGCTGCCGGCTTCCTGACATGCCTCTTGTCCAGGAGTCCTGGCTTCCGAGCGGCCTTGGAGCTTGTCTGAATTGAGGCTGCGTTCCCAGGGCCCCTGTGGGGGACTCTGCAGGGTGGGGGTCTCGCAGGGTCCACGGGCAGGGCAAGAGGGCTGTAGAGGGGGCTGTGACTCTTGGTGCAATGAGACCCCCCCCAGGGCCACTGCCAAAATGAGGCTTTTTTCCCTGCGTTCCAGAAGTGGCCAAAGGGCCCAGGGGGTCTTTGGGGAACCAGCCCCCTCTGGGTTGAGAGAGAGGGCCCATTTCTTTGACTTAGCAGGTTCCGATCCGAGATTGCTGCAAAAATGGAGGGAGGGGTTTCCTGTGCTGGAGGGGCCAATGTCAGGGCATGGGGGTGGCACTGAGAGCCAGGCAAAACAGGGGCCTTTGCCCCCAGAGTGTCTTCCATGCTGGCATCCTCTTTGCCCCCCTTCAGTTTCCAGAAGAAGGTGGAAAAGTTTCACGAAGGCCAGGTGGTCAGCAGCCTCAGCCCCGAGACTTACATGGGCCGGACCATCATGCTGGTCAACTGCTGCCCCCCCTTCAGGTGAGTGGCCAGCCCTGACCCTGATGCCAACAGGGAAGCCCTCCTCACTCTGCCCCCGGCCTCCCTCTTAGCCCCCAGCGTCGGTCCAGTTCAGTCCCCCCACAATTCAATGGGGAGGAAAGGAGGTTTTCCCTCCCCCCCCACCCGCCCCCAGTTATGAGCCTGGCTGGCTTTGCGCAATTCGCACGCAGCTCTCTTGACGGGGCTGCTCTTCTAGGGACTACCTGGAGCACCTGGCCAAGTTTGGCCACCCGGACAGCGAGGCTGCAAAGCGGCAGGCTGGCTTGTCCCTCGACCGGGTGACCCGGCTGTGCAACCGCGTGCTGGCTGACCAGCTCTTCCAAAGCCTCAAGGTAACCGGGGCGTCTCCCAGGGCCGGCAGGGGGAGGCGGGAGGGCTGTGCTGCTGGATCCTGGTCCCCATAAACCATGGTTTGTTCCCTCCACGTTTTGAGACTTATCGGACTGGCCTGCCGGGATGAGTGGGTGGGTCCCCTCGGGGTGAGCCATCCTGAGTGGGTTCTGCTTGGAGGCAGGGAAGCTCTGGGGCTGCATCTGAGGCAGGGCCCCTTCCCGGCTCTCCCCCTCCCCAAAACAGCCCTACTTCTACAAGCTGATGAAGAGGAAATGGCTGAACAACCCCGAGGCCTTCTCCACCATCATGGCTCTCCTGGCGGAGCACGCCCAGAAGCTGCGGAGGATGAAGCTGGGGCCCTACCAGGTGGGAACCCCCTCCCCCCAACCGTCCCCTCGGTCCACCCGGAGGCCAAACGGCCCCCTCCTGCCCCAGCCAGCTCTAATCTCTGCCCCCACCCCCCCAGATGCTGGTGAGGGAGGTGCACCGGCGGGTGCTGATCGAGTACGTCCGGCCGCTGATGCGAGTGCGGATCATCTGCAGCTCTTCCAAGATGAGGGCCAAGGTGGCCCACCGGCTGCGGAGCGAGGCCAAGCAGCTGCAGGAGTTCTTTATCCAGCTGGTGAGGGGGGCCCCCGGGAGAAGCAGGGCTCAGGGCCTTCCTTGGGGGCCAGAGACATAAAGGAGGAGGGGGAGAAGGGCCCAAGGAAGGGGCATCCCTCTCCTCGCCTGACCTCGGCCTCCGTCTCCTGCCCTTCCGATTCCCAGAGAGAGAGAGAGAGCCGGGAGCTCTGCTTCCCCTCCCTTGGCGGGGGGTCCCAGGGGTGGGGAGACGGGCCTTCCAGAAGGTCACTTCCTGAGGGGGGTGGTTTGCAGCCCTCCCCCCCCCAGGGCATGCGGGGGTCTCTCTATAATTAGCTGCCCCCCTCCCTTCCTGCAGGAATCCTCCTCCTCCTGGCTGGACTCCGTGGTGCCCCACCTGGCTGGGATCCTGGAGCTGGAAGACACGCCGGCCATCCAGATGGAAGTGGCCTTCCTGGCCAGGGCCTTTCCTGACGTGCAGTGAGTCAGGGCGGGAGGGGAAGCGGCCTGGGTGCCCACAGCCTGTGCAGGCGGCTCTCTTGCCTTCCCCCCCAAGGCCTCCAGGGGCCCTGCTGGGGCAGACCAAGGGCCCCTGGACACGAAAGGTCTCTCGGCCACAGGAGGCCTCTTCCCTCCCTAAAGTGGTCCTTCCCCAGTTGGCCCCCCTGAGCCCCTGGTCCCTCTGGCCAGTGGTCCCTCGGGAGGCCACATCTCAGCTCTCTAGGCTGGCCTGCAAGACACCAACCATCCCCAGACATCGAACTAATGCCTGGGGATGATGGGACTTGTAATCCAGCCTCCTCCCAGGAGCTGCGAGTTCCTTGCAACTGCTTGGGCCGGCCTCCTCTTCAGCTTCGTGGGCAGAAGATCCAGAAGGAGGCCAGGAGAAGAGCCATTGGAGGCAGCTCCTGCAGGGCCGGCTCCCACCTTCTCCCCACTCTCGGTTCGGGGCTGTAGGGCTGTTCATTCTTGGCATGGCTCTTTTGCCGAGCTGGGCACCGTAAGAGGCTTCGGCCTGCCCCTCCCCTGCGTCTGGCCACAGTCACAGAAAACCTGCCACGCTTCGGCCTTTGGCCAACCTGCATCCATCCAGGGGCTCTTTCCAAAGAGCTGCTCTCCTTGGCCGACGGTTGGGGGCTCCACTCTACTCAAGCCTTGGGCCACACAGTGAACCGGGCCCCTCCCACACTGTGTCCCTTTGAGAGCCAGGATCTGGAGGGGCAGAAGATGCCCGAGGTACATCCATCTAGCGGTGGGGAGGCTGTCCAAAGGAGCAGTTCAGGATGGGGCTGCCGCTAAGACCCCCTTCCTTCCTCCCCAGAGACCTGCTCCCCCCCCCATCACAAGAGAGTAGTGGCCACGTTTCTATGAGGAAGGGACTTTGGGGACACAGGACGTGTCCCTGCCCAGCCCCTCCACCGTGGGCTTCCAGAGACCCTCTGGGCATCCTGCTCTCCCCCCCACAAGCCCCTTGTAGTTTTCTACTCTTGTGCCCACCTTCTTCCTTCTTCTACCGGGAGCAGAAGCCGCACCAAGCAACTCGGAGCTCTCTGCCATCTGCTCCAAGGATGCTGGGCGGCCGCAGCCCCCTTGCCCCTTGGCAGCCTCTGCCCGCTCCCCTCTGGCCTTGAGGGCCCTTTGATCTCTGCGGGGGAGGGGGGGACGGAGGCAGGTAGATGACGCTCCGAGGTTTCCTGCTGAGTCCTCCGGGTCCTTCTCTCCTTCCCTCAAGGAGCCACTTCTTGGAAGCAGGAGGGTCACTTCCAGTTCCCAGGACCAGGCGGCTGGGGAGTTATAAATACCCTTCCCCTCCCCGCTCTGCCCACACGGCTCGGCTGGCTACCAGCCGGCTGCGTCATGGGGGGAGGGGGGCCAAATCAGGGCCTTATCATGCCTCCCCCCTTGTTTTTCTTTCCATCTTCCTGCTGATTGCATCCTCAGGAATTGTTTCGAGGCGGCAGATTGCCCGTTAAGGGTGGCTGACGGACGTTTCCTGTTTTATCTGGACTTCTTGTTTCTTGAAAGGAAAAGAGAGAGGGAGAACGAAGTGGCTGCGCTTCAGACAGGAAGCAGAGTTTGGGGGCCGTTTCCTACCAGACTGCCATTTGGGGCTGGCACTGGGACAAGAACCACACTGGCTCTGCCAGGATGCCCGGAAGCTCCCCTGGGGCGCGAAGGGCCTGTTGGCACGTGCTTGGGAGAGAATCCTTTGGCGCTGGCTCAGGGCCGCCCACTGGCCTCCTCGGTGCCCAAGACGTGCCAATTGCCATCCCTTGGCAAAGCGGGGATTCGCCCCACGACGGTGCCCAGCCTGCGGAGGGGGCAGAGCGTGCCTGCCAGCCCGAGCAGAGGATGCCAGCAACCCTTTTAAGCTGCCCTGGGTGGGTGGCTTGGAGGAGCATTTCCTAAAAATGGGGGGGGGGCCAGGGGAGCCATGCAGCCTGTGGCAAGAACAGCCGTAAAGTGGGAGAAAGCTCCCTTGACCACTGTCTCACTTAAGAACAGAAATTTTGGGCTCGATTGTCCCTCCGCATTCTTCGCATGAGAATTCCCTCCCCTCCAAGCCCCCCATGCAGGCCCTGCCCCCTGGGGAGCTATGCAAGGCAGCCACGATTGCCAGAGTCCCCGGGGGGGAGGACAGGGTGGGCGTCCTTCCTGCTCCATCTCCTCCCTTCTTCCCTCCCTGCAGAAAGAAGCACCTGTCGGCCCTCCTGGATGTCCGGGGCCTGCAGAGCCAAGCCCAGCGGCAGCTCATCCTGGCGGCCTTGGAGAGCCTGGAGCTGGAGGGGGCCGAGACGGGCATCTGCCAAGACCGGGCCTTCTTCTCCGAGATCTCCACCGGCGAAGTCTTCTGCGTCCGCGTGCAGCTGCACCGCCTCTCGCACTTCGGCTTCGCCTGCTTCTCCCGGATGCGCCAGAGGCCCCCCCGCCCGCAGCACCAGAGCAGGGCGCTGAGAGAGAAGGAGGAGGAAGCTCAGCTGTGAGGACCCCAAGCGGACCTCCTGGGCCCCTTGGCCAGAGGGCCCCCCTGCCCTTTCCCAAGAAGCCCTGCTGGGCCAGGAGGAGGGTCCGGGCTGCCTGCTGGACACCACGGCTTGGCTCTTGGGCTGCAGGCCTCCTGCAAGTGGCCGAGAGCCGGACAGGCAGCAGCCTCCCTTCCACCGCTAGGAGTGGCCATGGAGAAAGACCACTGCCTCCCCTGGGCTGGATTTGGGGGCGATTGCTGGGGAGGGGGATAGAAAGGGGCCCGGGGCACTAATCCAACCCCTCCTAGACTCCCCACCCTCAGAACCAACCGGTGGATCTGATGCTCCTCTCAGGCCACTTTGAGGCCAGGACTTTTTCAGGGTGGAGGAAGCCTTGTGCCAAGGGGGGCTTCTGCGGGGGGGGGGGCGAGGGAACGGGCAAAGGGAGCCCTGGCTCAGGGGGAAAATGCAGGGGGAGATCCAGGAAATACAACCCTGATTCAATCTTGGAACCACATCAAACCAGGTGGAGAAACAGCTGGCGGGAAGAAGTTGGGATTCCAAGCACCATGTTCCTCGCCCAGAAGAAAGGGGCCTCCTCGCCTCCTCCGAGCACATAGAACAGGCTCCACAAGTCTTAAAGTGGCCAAGTCTGGAGATGCCCAACATAGAACATCGAGTAATAGGGTTGGAAGGGACCGTGTAGGTCATCTAGTCCAACCCCCCCGCCCAAGCAGGAGACCCTGCACCATTTCTGACAGAGGGCAGCCCAGTCTCTTCTTGAAAGCCTCCAGGGATGAAGTTCCCACAACTTCCGAAGGCAACTTCTCTTCCATGGGTTGATTGCTTTCACTGTCAGGAAATTCCTCCTTATTTCCAGGTTGAATCTCTCCTTGGTCAGTTCCCATCCCTTCTTCCTCGCCTGGCCTTC